TGCTAAATTTAGCATTCAATTAATCTTTTGCTGGATTTAGCTTTAAGCTACTGATTTGCTAAATTTAGCATTCAATTAATCTTTTGCTGGATTTAGCTTTAAGCTACTGATTTGCTAAATTTAGCTTTCAATTAATCTTTTGCTTGTTTTAGCTTTAAGCTACTTATTTGCTAAATTTAGCTTTCAGTCTTTTGCTGGTTTTAGCTTTAAGCTACTGATTTGCTAAATTTAGCATTCAATTAATCTTTTGCTGGATTTAGCTTTAAGCTACTGATTTGCTAAATTTAGCTTTCAATTAATCTTTTGTTGGTTTTAGCTTTAAGCTACTATTTGCTAATTTTAGCTTTCAATTAATGTTTTGCTGGTTTTAGCTTTAAGCTACTGATTTGCTAAATTTAGCATTCAATTAATCTTTTGCTGGTTTTGGCTTTAAGCTACTGATTTGCTAATTTTAGCTTTCAATTAATGTTTTGCTGGTTTTAGCTTTAAGCTACTGATTTGCTAATTTTAGCTTCCAATTAATCTTTTGCTGGATTTAGCTTTAAGCTATTGATTTGCTAAATTTAGCTTTCAATTAGTCTTTTGCTGGTTTTAGCTTTAAGCTACTATTTGCTAATTTTAGTTTTCAATTAATGTTTTGCTAGTTTTAGCTTTAAGCTACTGATTTGCTAATTTTAGCTTTCAATTAATCTTTTGCTTGTTTTAGCTTTAAGCTACTGTTTGCTAAATTTAGCTTTCAATTAATGTTTTGCTGGTTTTAGCTTTAAGCTACTGATTTTCTAATTTTAGCTTTCAATTAATCTTTTGCTGGTTTTAGCTTGAAGCTACTGATTTGCTAATTTTAGCTTTCAATTAATCTTTTGCTGGTTTTAGCTTTAAGCTATTGATTTGCTAATTTTAGCTTTCAATTAATCTTTTGCTGATTTTAGCTTTAAGCTACTGTTTGCTAAATTTAGCTTTTAATTGATCTTTTGCTGGTTTTAGCTTTAAGCTACTATTTGCTAATTTTAGCTTTCAATTAATGTTTTGCTGGTTTTAGCTTTAAGCTATTGATTTGCTAATTTTAGCTTTCAATTAATCTTTTGCTAATTTTAGCTTTAAGCTACTGATCTGAAATGCAGCTTTGTTTTGACTGTTTTAAACTCAGCAAAAGGTTTTATTCAGTATTTTTGCTACACTTGATGAAAATGCTTATTTTTCATAGTTTCTTTCTGATTTTAAGTAAAAAGTAGCTTTTAAGAGAAAACTGACAGAACTAAAAGAGTTTGAAAAAACACAATAAAAACAGAGCTGCAGTTTCTTAAC